ACGCCGAGCGGGTGGGCGCCGGTGCGCCGGTGTACTTGGCGGCGGTGCTCGAGTACCTCACCGCCGAGATCCTGGAGCTGGCGGGCAATGCAGCCCGCGACAACAAGAAGACGCGGATCATCCCCCGCCACCTGCAGCTGGCCATCCGCAACGATGAAGAGCTCAACAAGCTGCTGGGCGGCGTGACGATCGCCCAGGGAGGCGTCCTGCCCAACATCCAGGCCGTGCTGCTGCCCAAGAAGACCAGCGCCACCGTGGGGCCGAAGGCCCCCTCTGGCGGCAAGAAGGCCACCCAGGCCTCCCAGGAGTATTGAGGAGCGTTCGCTCTCCGGCCGGCCGCCCCGGCCCCCCCATGCCACCACAAAGGCCCTTTTAAGGGCCACCGCCGCCCTCACGGAAAGAGCTGAGCCACACGGGGCTGCGGGGCCGGCAGGCCGCGGCTCTCTCCTTCCCTCGCGCGTCCCCGCAACCGCTCGGCCTCCCGTCCCCGGCCTACCGCTCCCGCACGGCCATCCGCGTCGGCCTCCGGCTGGGGCCGCGGCGCTCGCGGGCTTCGCTCCCTGACCTTTACCCGAACGATCGCAGGCCGGTCGCCCTCACGGCGCGGGGGCCGTCCGGACGCGGCTCCGGCCCCCCTCCCGGGGGGGGGGGCTTCCTGACGCGGAGGGCCCCGAGACTGCTGGGGGTGGCTGGCGGCGCAGCACCAGCCCTTCTCGGTGCTCGTGACTCAGCCGCTCCATCCTCAGAATCGCTGATGGACTGCGGGGAGGCCTCAGCACCCGCTGGAGGACTTGGTTTTCCGCTCTGACGTAGGGCTGAGACGGGTGGCCGAGGCCAAGAGGCCGGTGGCCCTGAAGGTGAGTCCCTCAGCTGCAGCCAGGCCGTCTGTTCCTTCTTCAGCTTGGTCCTTAGCCCAGGACTTGAAACATGTGACTTGATTTCCAGGCTTTGGTGGGGAGAATTGGCGCCCTCTTTTGCTGCCAAGTCCCAGGCCTTTCCTACCAGATCTCCCTCCACCTTCGCTCATAGGCCTGTGTGGTGTGGCCAGGACAACACTGGCAATGTGAACGCCTCTCTTCCCAAGATGACTGCCTCCTGGGAAGACCTTTGGAAAGGGCAGAGGTCTGCAGTTTGACTTCAGGGCTGGCAGCGTGGACAGCAGTTGTGTTGTGGCTGAAAGAAGTTGGCAGCCAGGCCTGTCGGGCCTACCCGCTCTGCCCCATTTCCCTTCCAGCAATTCATCCAGCAATCCAAGCACCTAGATACCAGCACAAGTCAGTTAATCCCTGTCTGGACTGAGCCGCTGTTGGATTCTGAACTGGAATTTTGCAGCTAACCCATCCAAGACTAGAACCTTAGGTACTGGGGAGTTTTAGATGGACTAATTTTATTAAAAGATTTTTTAAAAATGAAGTGTCTTTTCATTTTGCAAGAGTTGTCGGACTGATGACATTGTATACTTTTCCTTAGATAGCGGAGGTGGGAGGGACTATATAATACTACAGGAACACCCCCCCCCAAGGAAAAAAAACAGGAATTATCTTTTAGAGGCTCCTTGGAGTACAGGCTTTCCCGCTAGGTAGTGGTCTAGAAACCCATCAGTGTACCAGCTAGCCATTGTTCTGAGAGGCTGCATTTGAGTTCAGTTTTTTTGGAGACTCGATGTGTTTGTCCGTTTCATGATGGTGATTTACAAGCATACCTACCCATACCATTGACCAAATATGGCGTGATCCCCGTGCCCTACTACCCTCCCTCTTCACCCAGTTTCACCCCGAGTGACTTTTTTTGTTTCCTTGGATGAAAAAAGTCCTCAAAGGGAAATGTGCTGATGTGGAAGAGGTGACACAAAAACATGGCCGAAGCACTAAAAGGCATCAAAATTGACGATTTCAAAAACTAGAACAGTAGAAAAAGCATCTCTATAGGTGTATTGCATCCAACGGAGAAGTACTTTGAAGGTGACAAGTTTGAACATGTAAGAATAAATACACAATTTTTTATAAATAAATCTTGGTGTTTTTTTTTTGCCACCCCCGCCGTATAAGTAGGCTCTACTGTTACCTGGAGAAGGGATAGCCATAGGACTCTAAGGTTATGGCTCTTTCTTGGTCTCCCCTGGAGATAATTTGAAACGATTGAGGCAAAAACAGGATGTTCCAGAACTTTAGACAGAAGTCCCAACCTTAGAAGCAAGGGTTAAAGGGTTTTGTGTCCATTTATTTCCCCCAACCCCACCAAAAAAAAAAAAAGGCACCTTCAGAGTCGGTTTATTATTAGTTGGTTACATTCAAAGGCTGTGGCTTTGACTTTCTCTAAAAAGCTGAAGCCCCCACCTATCGAGGCAGTCACCAAGGCTCCAAGGTGAGGCAAGTCCCTGGAAATCTCAGCCCCTGCAGTTCAATCTCCTGGGGTAATCAATTCCCAGTTAGCAGTAAGGAATGGAGCACTGAGGGCCAGGAAGTCGGCACTGGACAGTGGCAACTCAGGCACCTGTGCCCCACAGAGCAGTTAGCAGGCATCATTAAGCTGCCGTGCGATGTCCAGGATGTTCTTGGCTCCTTTGTTAAGCAACAAGTTGGCCAGGCTGATACCCAGGTTCTCAGCAGCCAACTGGGCTCCTCGTGGAATGTTCCGGGCAGTAATGCCTACTAGCTGTGGATCATCCTCAGGGCCATCTTCATGCTGTGTGAGGGAAGGAGGTGGGATTTGGTGGGATTTGGTGAGATTGAAGATTACATGCACTCCTGTTTATGGTTCCCTCTCTCCTCCCCCAGTTTTGGTACCTGGGCAGAGACATGGATGGTAGCCTGCATGGTCTCTTGCATGCTATCTGAGCCATCCAGACTCCAGACTCCTCCAGTTAGGTATAGCTGGGAAAGAAAGTAGTTGCCTCAGCATACTCTGAGAGGGGACTGCTTAGAAACCTGGGACGCACAGGGGGAAATGCCATAGTCCTTCCTACCCTGCCCTCCTACCCGTTTTTCCTTGCTTACTTGTCCATCCTTCATAGATGTATGCACTGCTACTGGCACACTGCAGCCTCCTTCCTGCAATGAGAAGTTCCTGTAAGCTCCAAGGGCCCTGAACACCATCCTGTGACCACAGCCCTCAGAGATACACATATCCCTGATGACAACACTGGAAAGGCACCTGTGGGCCCAGACCTGGGTCCTTTCTATATACAACATCCAATGAGAATGAGTTATCACTACATACAGAACATTCATTTAAGAAATCTCCCCACTACCATTCCTACTTCCCCGAGTCCCCAGCCTTCCACAGCTGGAGCACAGGCCCTACCAGATGCCTCAGGAAGGCCCTTTCAGCGATGCAGCGAAGCAGAGTCTCAGGATCGTGCAACACACCCACCAGATCCAAAATATCCTGGTCCTTGGCTCGGACTTCCACGCCCAGGGCCCCCTGATGGAAAAAAGCAATGTCAGGCCTGATCTTTCCCCAACCAGTAGTCCTGAGGATGGAACCGCCCCTCCTCCACCAGCTCCCCAGGGCCTTTTGGACCAGTAGCATCTCAAGGCTGCCCCTCCCTGAGAATGTTGTTCTAGGGGAAGCAGATGCAGAAGGTTGTGAGACCAGATTCTTGGTTGAGAACAAAAGGAAGAGGTACAGCAACCTATGGCTTCCCTGGACAAGTATACCTGGCCCACAGCATACATGCATTCCTCAGGGCGCAGGATCTGTGGAGGCAGAACAGGCAGTCAGAGGGGGCGGAGATGGGGATGCCTGCCTAATAGCACCTGGGGCTTCCCTGTCATCTAGAAAGCCTGGGTAGGCGCAAGTGGGAATGTGGCCTGAGTCCCAATTTCCCCAGTCTGTGATTTAGAGGTAGGGGGTGGGGTGGGGTGGGGGGTCAAGAAGAGAATACAGATGCTTTTGACTTACAATGGGGGTCACATCCCAATAAACCCATTGTAAGCTAAAACCATTTTAAGCTGAAGACGTATCTAATACACTTAGTCTACTGAACATCACAGCTTAGCCTAGCCACCTTAAGTGTGCTCAAAACACTTACACTGGCCTGGAGTTGGGCAAAAAACATCTAACACGAAGCCTATTTTATAATAAAGTGTTGACTATCTCATGTAATCGACTGACTACTATACTGAAAGTAAAAAACAGAATGGCGGTATGGATACTTGAAGTATGGTTTCTACTGATTTCAGATCACTTTTGCACCATTATAAAGTTAAAAAAAATCAATAAACGGAGCCACCCCAAACCAGGGGCCAACTGTACTGGCAGGAAGGAGATGTAGGTTAATCGGGGAGGGGATAGAGGGAGCCCCTACCTGCCCTACTCGGTTCTGCCAGCCCATGCGCTGCAGGCCAGCTGTAGCCAGGATGATGGCACTGAACTCCTGCTGCTCATCCAGCTTCCGAAGCCGGGTGTTGAGATTTCCCCGCTGTGGAGAGATGCTAAGGACTACGAGTGTTGGGCAATCTGGAGCCTCATGCTGTTCCCTCTGCCTGAATCTGTCTTTCCCTCTCTATCTGGCTGACTTCTACTCATCTGCCAGTTCTCAGCTTCATGATAACAGCTAACACTTACATCATACCTACTACATGCCAGACACTTCTAAAAGTGCTTTCCATATGTCAACTCATTCCATTTTCACTACAACCCTATGAGGGAGGTATTATCATTATCCCCATTTTACAAATGGGGAGGTTCAATGTCTTGCCCAAGGTTACAAGACCTCTGAGAAACCTCCCCTGACCTCCAAGTGTGTTTGGATATTCCAGTCAGAAGCTTCCCGAGGATTCCCTACCTTGCTCATTGAACACTCAACACATACTATTTTAAAGTTAGTTTTATGAAATGTACTACACGTTCATTATAAAAATCAAAACAATATAGTAGCATATAAATAAAAATTGAAGTACTCTTTCTCCTCCCCAGAAGTAATCACTGTTCATTATAACTCTGTATTATTAATGCCCATCACCCTGTCTCCCTAACTAAAATGTCAACTCTGTATAAGCAGGGACAATGTTTATCTTGCTCACCATTATCTGCAGTGCAAGGCACTTGCCTGGGGCTAAAAAAACATTACAGGATTGTGAATGGGTGGATGGATGGTAGATAGAAGAACACACAGGCCACTGACTAACCCCAGGAGCCACTTGCTCCGGAAGCCCCATCCACTCTCAGAACTCCCAGAGCCCTCTAGACCTTGTCTTCTTCCTTGGCTGCTGCCTTTCCCTCTTTTTTTTTTGAGTCAGAGTCTTACTGCCCCCCAGGCAGGAGTGCAGTGGAACACTCAGCCTTCCAAGTAGCTAGAATTACAGGTGTGTGCCACCACACCCAGATAATTTTTTGATTTATTGTAGAGATGAGGTCTCACCATGTTGCCCAGGCTGGTCTCGAACCCTAGGCTCAAGCAATCCTCTTGCCTCTGCCTCCCAAAGTGCTGGGATTATAGGCGTGAGTCACCGTGCTCTGCATACACCCTTCCCTCTTTTAAAAGGATACAATACTCCTGAATTCCAAATGTGGGAACTTTCTCTGCAGCTGGGCCACTCTCCGCAGGGAGCTGGTTCCCACCACACTGCCCAGAGAGAAGGTTAAAAATGGAATTTAACACGAGGCAGCCAGGCACTATTCTTTCCCTCCTCCTCCCATCCCTCCATCTTCTGGGCACATCCCACCAAGGAGCCTAGCCAGGCCCCACTCACCTTTTTTCTGGCAAGGTTTCTAGGGTCTTCCCAACAAATTTTGGGTGAAAGACGACAGCATCATAGGGATTCTCCCGCCTGGAGGAGGAGAGAAGAGCAGAGAATGAGGGAGAGATTTCAGTTCAGTCCCCACCATTCTCCCTCACTAGCCCACTAACTGGAATTTTGTTTTCTGCCATGCTCGACACTCCTCAGGACAAGGCAGAGGGTCAAGTCTCATGGAGAAAAGCAAAAGTTCACAGGATGCCTACCCCTCACCCAGACCCCCTTACTTGCAGATGGCTCCAATGGTGAAGTTAGGAGGAAGCACAGTGGGTAGGTCCTTCAAGGAGTGAACAACTATGTCCACCCTGGAGAGAAGAGAGGAGGAGGCTAGGAGAAAGGGTGTGAGCAGTCAGCCCCGACCCCTTCTCCACCCACCCTGCATCTACTTCAGTGGTAGAGCCTAGGGCAATTCAGGAAGCAGCCTTCTAGAGCCCTTGAGACCTGCTCTCCCCCAATCCTCCCTTCCACCCTCGATCCTCCAGCCACTCTTGCACCTGAGGCAGCCAGATGACTCAGAACCAAGACACGATCCTTTTCTGAAAACTTCAAAAAACCCACCTATGATCCCCTCTAGCATCTCCAGGGTTTAAGCCCAGCAGCCTAGCTGGCATCCAGGGTCCCAGCAAGAGATAGGGAAGGTGCCATTCTCTCTTGTCTTCACTTACTCATTATTCTCCAGGGCATATTCCAGCTCCTTGGTAAACAGGCTCTTCTCTCCAATCTGCTAGGCAAGAAAGAGCCTAAGTAAATCTCTTGGGGGAAGCAAAGATGAGGGGGGACAAGGATTGAGGGGAAGATGTTATTACCTTAGAGAGTGCAGTATCAAGAATCTTGTCCCCTGTAGTGGACATAGCAACTGAGGAGAGAGAAAATCAATCAGGTGCTCATTGTTCAGCATTTACTCAGCCCTTACTGAGCCTAGCACTGTGTTAAGATTCATGGTGGGGACAGAGGCACATAAGATCCAGTCCCTGCCTTCTGGGGAAGACCAGACACACTCATAACAAGACCCAAAGTAGAAGATGTCAAATGCCTGGCTAGCCCAAGCAGACAGAGCTGGAGATATTCAAAGAAAGAAAGAGTCATTGGAAATGAGAGCAGCCATAAGGGATTCTTGGGGGCAGTGGTTATAGGCAAAGCTAGAAATGCTGGGTTCTCCTCACTAAGGGTATTGGGCTTCCCATTAGCTTCCATTCTGTCCCAGAAAACTCACTGATTTCAAACTGCAGGCCAGGGTATAAGGCTTTCAGCATTGCCACCACACTGTCCGTCTGTATGCGAGCCAGCTGAGGGTAGAGATTGGGATTAGTCCTGCCCTTCCCTGGCCTCCACCCCGAGCTCAGACTCTCACAGGTGAGGGAGATGTCAAAGGAACAGAATTCCCACCTGGGAATGAGAGGGGCCTGGGAGTCATCTGTGCTCCAACAACATTTTCAGCCCACAGGTAAATGTAATCTGCCATTCCCCATGAAACTCAGCGGCCAGCCACCCATTCCTCCATGCTGGGAACTAACCCTCTGGGCCCCCCACCTTGTGCTACTGTGAGCACCAGAACTCTGCTAAACTTCCTCCATCCCAGTACCTGCACTCACCTGGCTCTTGCGGGTACCCACACGAATTATTCTCATCTTTGGACTGTTTTCTTCCTGCAGAAAAAGTCCCCAGGTCACAGTCCCTTCTGTTTCTTGAGTTCCTGAAGACCTTGTCCAAGAACCAGAATCACTGGTTTGGAAGACAGGAACCTCAGTCCCAGCCTGTGGCCACCTAAGCCTCAGAGTGGGAAAGTTCTCTAAGACTATTCCCTTTACCTTCGTCAGTATCTTCTGCCCTCCTCAGGACCCAGAGAAGCAGAGACCAGAGGAAAGCAAGAGTAAGACCTGCTATTGCTGCTGTTGCAGCAACCAGAACACTGAGCCCCAAGGCCTATCCTGGCCAGGGCAGTTCTCAGTGGGAGTGCAGCACACAGCCAGGTGGGTAAAGAGATAAAGCCCATCAGCCTGGCCACAGGGAGGGTGGGGACTGCAGCTGGCAGGGGAGTGCTGAGTCACTAGAGAGTAGGTTCACTATCTACAGCAGAGGAGGCACAAGAAAAAACTTCAGTGCCACCTAGATGCTGCACTGAGTCCCTTAATCTGGCTGGAAAGCATAACAGATCTGATGTACAGTACTGTTCAGTCTCCTGGCTGGGTGACCTTGGGCACATCATCCCATCAGGACCTGTTGGCTCTATAAAATGAAGAGGTTTGGACTCAAGTTTCTTCGGCCTCAGATGTTCTGTAAGACTATGAGGCTGGGTGTGACATGCAGCAGTGGGGCTAATTCAGGTGAAACTGAGTTTGAGGGTTATTTGGGACTGTTGGAGCCGCTGCCACCGATTTGATCATTTGCAATGTCAGGCTTTGAAAACGTAAACACTAGCTGGGCTTGGTGGCTCAGCCTGTAATCCTGCACTTTGGAAGACTGAGGTGAGTGGATTGCCTGAGCCCCGCGAGTTTGAGACCCGCCTGGGCAACTTGGCGAGACCTCATCTCTACAATAAATCAAAAAATTAGCCAGGAGTGGTAGCGCATGCCTGTAGTTCCAGCTACTTGGAAGGCTGAGGCAGAAGGATTGCTAGAGCCCAGCAGGTCGAGGCTGCGGTGGCCGGGAGTGGCCACTGCACTCCAGTCTGGGTGACAGAGTGAGACTCCAACTCAAAAAAAAAGAAAAGAAAACGTAAACACTGGTTTCTACCAGACAAGCTACAGCATCGATGACTAATCACAGCAGTCCTATGATTATGGGGGAAGTGGAAGATCCTATAGCAAACAGTACAATGGCTATGACTACTCGCAGCAAGGCCTATTTGTCCCTCCAGACATGATGCAGCCACAGCAGTCACACACTGGGCAGATTTTCCATCCAACTCAGGCATACACTCCAGCTTCACCTCAGCCATTCTATGGAAACAACTTTGAGGATGAGCCACCTTTATTAGAAGAGTTAGAAATCAGCCGGACTTGGTGGCTCAGCCTGTAATCCCGCGCCTTGGGAGGCTGAGGTGAGTGAATTGCCTGAGCCCGTGGGTTCGAGACCCGCCTGGGCAACTTGGCGAGACCTAATCTCTACAATAAATCAAAAATGAGCCAGGCATGGTAGCGTGCGCCTGTAGTTCCAGCTACTTGGAAGGCTGAGGCGGAAGGATCACCGGAGCCCAGCAGGTCGAGGCTGCGGTGGCCGGGAGCGGCCGCTGCACTCCAGTCTGGGCGACAGAGTGAGACTCCAACTCAAAAAAAACAAATAAACAAAAACAAAGAGTTAGGAATCAATTTTGACCATCTGGCAAAAGACACTAACAGTATTACATGTATTAAAAGTAGCAGATGGAAACAACACAAATGAAACCGATTTGGCAGGACCAATGGTTTTTTGCCTTGCCTTTACATTGTTACTAGCTGGCAAAATCCAGTTTTGCTATGTATATGGGATCAGTGCAATTGGATATCTAGAAGTATTTTGTTTATTAAGCTTAATGAGTATGACGGGTATTTAATTTGGTTGTGTGGCAAGTGTCCTTGGATATTGCCTTCTGCCCATGATTCTGCTCTCCAGGTTTGCAGTGATATTTTCTTTGCAAGGAGTGGTAGGAATCATTCTCACTGCTGGGATTATTGGATCATGTAGTTTCTCTGCTTCCAAGATATTTAGTTTTGCATTAGCCATGGAAGGACAGCAACTTTTAGTAGCATATCCTTGTGCTTTGTTATATGGTGTCTTCGCCCTGATTTCTGTCTTTTGAACTGAGTTCATCTGGAATGTGGACATTGGTGGGCCAATCACACAAAAAGGACCTTGAACTTGTAAATTGGACCAGCAAACTGCTGCAGCGCAATTCTCATTCGACTATTGGAGCAATGAAAGTAAACGTGTATTTTCTGTTCATTTTTTAATAGAATTTTTGAATACTATATTGGATTAACCTGTAGTGTGACTAGCTTTAAGTGTTTGTGTTTATACAAATAAGAAATGCTCTTTCCTTCCTGTTCTTGAAAAACAACTTTTTCCTTGCAGATTATAATGTTTTTAATATATTTGTATCAACTATGGGAAACCAACCACAAAGCTGAACATCTTTCTTAAAAACAACCCAAAGAGAAGACACAGATTTATTGCAGAAATATTTTTCAAAGGAATTAGGAAAGAAAAATTGTCCATATTCTCAAGTCAGGTACACTCAAAGCAAAAAAGTGATCCAAATATAGTTTCATGAGTTTGCACTTCAAAAATTTGCCATTCTTGCAAATTATCTCATGGAATTTTTGTTAAAATTAAGAGATAAAAAATTTCACAGTCTACCTTATTGTAGACATGAAATGTGAACACCTGTTTAGCTATTAGTGTTAACTAAACTTTAGTGACCTGGACTGGCTGCATTAATGCTCATAGTTGGGTCTTCATGGTTTCCCAAGAGAAAAAAATAAATCACTAACCTTTCTTGCAAAAAAGATTGAAAATTTTACAACTTCAGTATTGCAGTTGTCAATATAAAGCACATTTGAATGCTTATTAAAAATTTCCCGCTGGGCTTCGTGTCTCAGCCTGTAATCCCAGCGCTTTGGGAGGCTGAGGTGAGTGGACTGCCTGAGCCCGCGGGTTCGAGACCCACCTGGGCAACTTGGCAAGACCTAATTTCTACAATAAATAAAAAATTAGCTGGGTGTGGTAGCGCGCGCCTGTAGTTCCAGCTACTTGGAAGGATGAGGCAGAAGGATCGCCAGAGCCCAGCAGGTCAAAGCTGCAGTGGCCGGGAGCGGCCACTACACTCCAGTCTGGGTGACAGAGTGAGACTCCAAATTAAAAAAAAAAAAATTCCCAATTAATTTTAAAAACAAAAAGACCATGAGGCTGAGCTGTCTAATGTTCATTCCCCTAGAGTTCTGCCTCTGGTTTCACCAACAAGGAAATATTGGATGTCACAGCCCAAGTCAAGAATTCAAAGGGGCACACCTCTTCCTCCTACGTAGTTAGTTACCTTGGTCAAAGGTGTTTAGAACTGGGTTTTTCAGCCTAAGCCAGACGTTCCATTTCTTTCTACATCAGACAGCAGCTACTATAGATACTGTCAACTTTCTCTGCTCTGGGATTTTCATCCTATGGAGTTATTTGACAGTCAGACATCTGGAGCCTCTGTCACTAGAGGAGATGATAGCCTGCTGTTCTTAGACTCCAGTCTATTCTATGTGACCACTCCAATAAATCAACCATGGCCGGGCTCGGTGGCTCAGCCTGTAATCCCAGCACTTTGGGAAGCCGAGATGAGTGGATTGCCTTAGCCCGCGGGTTCGAGACCAGCCCAGGGAATTTGGCAAGACCTTGTCTCTACAATAAATAATTAGCCAGGCGTGGTAGTGCACGCCTGTAGTTCTGGCTACTTGGAAGGCTGAGGCAGAAGGATCACTGGAGCCCAACAGGTCGATGCTGGGGTGGCCGTGAGTGTGCCACTGCACTCCAGCCTGGGCAACAGAGTGAGACTCCAACTCAAAAAAACAAAATCAATCAATCAACCATGGAAGACCCTATGCAAATTAGGCTAGGCTTGAAATGTTAACTGTGTCCACTAAAATTCTGGGCCACAAGGAGCCCACAGAAAGGAATCAAAGATCCCAGAACTGCTAGGTACAAACAATATTCAGTTAATTGAATCTGTATGCATATTCAAGTCAAATCGTTCCATTAAAAATAAGTGAGGCCAGGAGCAGTGGCTCTTGCCTATAATCCCAGCACTTAGGGAGGCCGAGGTGAGAAAATTGCCTAAGTTCACGGGTTTGAGACCAGCCTGGGCAACTTGGTGAGACCTCGTCACTACAATAAATAAATAAATTAGCTGGACGTGATAGTGCACACCTGTAGTTCCAGGTACTTGGAAACTGAGGTGGAAGGAACACCTGAGCCCAGCAGGTGACGGCTGTAGTCGCCATGAGCGTGCCACTGCACTCCAGCCTGGGTGAGAGTAAGACTTCAACTCAAAAAATAAAAGAAAAAAAGATATATATATGTATTGGGCACTTCCATGTTAGAGCTACTGATTTTGCATATTGTTGTCTTCACAACATTCCTATCAGGTAAACCTCTGGGACTGTGTTACAGAAGCAAAGGCTGGCTTGGAGGGGTGAAGTGACTTTCCCAGGGTCACACAGAAATTAACGGGTAGAGAGCTGGAGCTGGAATTCAGATCTGCCTACTTTCTAGTCCAGTGGCCTGGAGCGATTGCAAGAGCAAAGAATCCCACACCTCACCAGCAGGCTGGACGCCGGGAGATAAGCAGCAGCTTTCTTATCGCATCTCTTTCTTATCTCAGGCAGGCTAGGAATAGGAAGGCCAAGGACCAGCTTCCCACCCACGAGAGTAATGAACGGTGTGTCTCAGCTGGGGACTTTGAGAGTAGGCTGTGGCTAGGGGACCACCATAACGGAAAAAGAGAGACGGCGCACTTCTAAGACGTTTGTGTGCAATTCGGAGACGTGGGGTATGCGCTCTTCTCTGTATCAGAAGCAGAACGTCTTCCCAAGGTAGCCAAATCTGCACCGGCCTCAGCCCCGTCTCGTGTGAAAGGATCCCATCTAAGTAGACAAACGAATGTGTACATTGCTGGATGTCCCCCGTGCACTTTGGGTTGCGCTGCCTGTCAGAAAATTGCTCCTATGTTGTCAGTTTTTTTCCCACAGCCTCACCTAATTTCATTTAATTTGGGCTTTTCCAGGCTGGGTGACTAAAGCTAGAACCATTTACCCCAGGCCTGGTGGGAATCCCAACCAGATGCCCGCAGGAATGGCGGTTCTCTTCTGAGACCATCCTTCCGCTCTTAACCCTGCTCCCACCGCTCACTGACATCCCCTAGCCTTCCTAAGGGCAACCTAGCTACTGGCCCTTTAAAAAACTCTTCGGACCAAAAAAGAAAAAGACGAACAGCCGTCCCGACCAATAGACGACGGAGGATGGCAACCTGGAGCCAATCACTGCACGGCTCGTTCAGAAGCCCAAGAGTGCCGGTCACCGGCCCAGCACTCACCGCCGTCGCTGCCGCGTCTCCGTTACCAGACATGGCTCCTCTCGGGAGGAAGGCCGAGGGTGCCGCTAAAGTCCCCGGGGCCCGGGGCAGCCGGGGACTCCGGCCAGCGGGTCCCGGGAGCACGTGGGGCCTAAGCCAGTCCTACAGTCTGACTCCGGCTCTGCGAAGGGTCCTGCGTCACTTCCCGCGCCCTCCCTCCAGGGGCGGTTCTCCCTCGGGGCGGGAATTAGAACGCTTGCGACAGAGCTGACCTGATCGTTCTGCCACCGCCCCGGCTGCACCGGACACGCGGGGGGCGGGGGGAGGGCTAGCTTCTCCTTCCTCCCAGAGACGTCCTGGTTTGAGACGCAGGCCCACCACCTCTTCCTAAGCCAGGAATACTGGTAGTCAGTGGCTCTTATGCTTCCCAGATCTCCCTGCAAAGTAAACTGTCTTTGCAGTACTTTCCTGCGGCCACCCACACCCAAAGGGACAATTAGGCCAAGTTAGCCACGCCCAAGAAGAAAAGGGGGACATATTAATCCTAAAATGCCAGTTTAGAAATAAGTCCTTGAGCAAGTTACCATGGCCCCTGGGCTCAGTTAACCACCAAATTAAGAGGCTTCTATAGACTTCCTTATCCAGAATCCTGCAGCTTCCTCTCCCTAGCTGTGGAGCAAGTAATCAGTGTAGCTTCTGTGGCGCTTCCTTTGCGCCGTTCGAATTTAGCTTTGCTACAACCCCTAGGTTAGGCAACACTTGCTATTTTTTATTTTTGAGTGGGAGTCTCTCTGTTGCCCAGGCTGAAGTGCAGTGGCACACGCACTGCCACCACAGCCTCAACCTGCTGGACTCGCGATCCTTCCACCTCAGCCTTCCGAGTAGCTGGAACCACAAGTCCCGCACCACCACGCCTGGCTAATATTTTGATGTATGGTAGAGTTGAAGTCTCGCCAAGTTGCTCATGCTGGTCTCGAACCCCCGGATTCAGGCAGTACTCTCACCTCTGCCTCCCAAAGTGCTGGGATTACAGACATGAGCTACTGTGACCGGCTTGCATTTTTTTGTTTTTGTTTTTGTTTTTGAATTGGAGTCTCACTCTATCGCCCAGACTGGAGTGCAGTGGCCGCTCCCGCAGCCATCGCAGCCTCGACCTGCTGGGCTCCGGCGATCCTTCCGCCTCAGCCTTCCAAGTAGCTGGAATTACAGACATGCTCTACTATGCCCAGCTGATTTTTTTTTTTTTTAATTTATTGTAGAGATGAGGTCTTGCTGCCCAGGTGGGTCTCGAACCCGCGGGCTCAGGCAATCCACTCACCTCAGCCTCCCAAAGGCGCGGGATTACAGGCTGAGCCACCTAGCCTGGCTTGCATTTGTTTTTTAAATGAGGAAACTGGTTTAGAGAGATTAAAAGTCATGCCTAAAAACAAGTTAACTGAAGTGGAGCATCAGCTACATTGTTGGTGGGAAAAGGGCTTACTGGGAAAAGCGATTTTCCCATTAATATTGGTCATCATGAATTGAGCAGCCATGTGCTAACCCACTGTACAAAGAACTGGACATGCATTCACTCCTTAGGCTTTAACAATAGCTGTACAAGGTAAATGTTGTGATCCCTAATGTACAAATGAAGAAACAGGTTCAGAGAAGGTAAGAGCTACCCTAAGTCAAGCTGCACAACTAGGATTCAAACCTAGGTCTGCTGACCCCAGGTCTATTCATAGTAACTATAATATGGCCTTTTCTAAATACTATCTAATAAACAACGTTCAAGTTACTTTTTCAAATTGACATGAAAATTTTTTTTTTCCAGAGTCTCACTATCACCCAGGCCGGAGTGCAGAGTAGCACACTCACTTCCACCACAGCCTTAACCTGCTGGGCTCAGGTGATCCTTCCACCTCAAGTCTTCCAAGTGGCTGGAACCACAGGCATGCACCACCGTGCCTGGTTACTTTTTTTGATTTATTATGGAGACAAGGTCTCACCAAGTTGCCCAGGCTGGTCTTGAACCCCTGGGCTCAGGCAGTCCTATCACCTCTGCCTCCCAAACTGCTAGGATCAGGCATTGAGCTACCGCACCTGGTCTACATGAAATTAGGTGAGGCTGTGGAAAAAGCTAACATAGGAGCAATTTTCTGACAGGCAGCATAACCCAAACTGCACAGGGACACCCAGCAGTGTACACATTAGCTAACAACGTCAAAGAGGTGAAAATGTTCCAATAAAATACCATTTGTCCTGTTTATCATAAGCTATCCATTATGAAGATAGGCCAAACCCAAGGCTCACTACTAAAATCTGCCTCCTGCTTGAATATTTCACCCAAATAAGAGCCACAGACACCAGTAAGACTGAAGAGCAAAAGCTGTGTTGGGTGTTTCAGTCCAGGCTGCTCTTAGACCTCAGTCATCAGGTTTTGTTTTTTTGTTTTTTTTTTTGAGTTGGAGTCTCACTCTGTCGCCCAGACTCCCAGCCACCGCAGCCTCGACCTGCTGGGCTCCAGCGATCCTTCTGCCTCAGCCTTCCGAGTAGCTGGAACTACAGGTATATACTACCACGCCTGGCCAGTTTTTTTTTTTTGTTTTTTTTTTTGAGTTGGAGTCTCACTCTGTCACCCAGACTGGAACTACAGGCACGTGCTACCACACCCGGTTAATTTTTGCTTTATTTTAGAGATCAGGTCTCGCCAAGTTGCCCAGGCGGATCTTGAACCCGCAGGCTCAGGCAACCCACTCACCTCAGCCTCCCAAAGGCGCGGGATTACAGGCTGAGCCACCAAGCCCAGCTTAGTTTTTGATTTATTGTAGAGATGAGGTCTCGCCAAGTTGCCCAGGCGGGTCTTGAACCCGTGGGCTCAGGCAATCCACTCGCCTCAGCCTCCCAAAGCGCGGGATTACAGGCTGAGCCACCGAGCCCGGCTGTCATCAGGTTTTTTGTAGAAGTTCGTCAGTAGATTGAACCATACTAGGTGCAACAGGCCTCACCCATTACCAGAATGAGGTTGAGTCAGCATGATCTCCAAGACATACTGTATGAGTAAGTGGAGCTCAGCTCTAGGAGAGCAGAGGAAAGAAAGTACATTTTTGAATCACCAGGAAGCTGGGCAGTGGCTTGCACCTGTAATCCCAGCACTTTGGGAGGTAGAGGTGAAAGGAGTGCCTAAGTCCACGGGTTTGAGACCAGCCTCAGCAACATGGCAAGACCTCGTTTCTACAATAAATTAAAAAATCAGCCAGGCTTGGTGGCGCATGCCTGTAGTTCCAGCTACTCAGGTGGAAGGATCGCCTGAGCCCAGCAGGTCAAGGCTGTGGTGGCCATGAGTGTGCCACTGCTCTTCAGCCGGGTGACAGAGTGAGATTCTGACTCAAAAAATAAAATAAAATAAAAATCACCAGGAAGTTCCCAGGAAAAAAATCCTTAAATCCACAAGTCATTATATTCTTTTATTTATAGACTCAGAGCAAGGACCCAAGCACAGCCTGGTGCTCTTGGATAGAGAATAAAGCAGCTATTGTCCACACTCAGAGGCTGCTGAGGTACCCTCCCCCACTCCTGGAATGACTTACACTGCCAGTCAAGAGGAGGGATGGCAGGCTGGCTAAAGAAGGCAGGGGGAAAAGTCCCCTTTAGTCCTGAAGGCTAGGACATCAGATGAGAATGGAAGCCTGGCATGTCTGCCTGCCTTCTGTGCCACAGCCTGCCCGGGTTCCCCTGCCTGCCCTGCTGTGCCTCCACTATCACCCACGCCTTCCGGCAAGCTGCTTAAGTGCCCCTCCTGGAGTGCATGAGCAGGTCCCGCTGCAGCCCCGCCTCCAGGCTGGGGGTCAGTCTGGCTGTGGGAGGGTCCGTCAGCAGAGTCAATTTGTTGAAAACACCTCGGCCAAAGTAGTCAGCAATCACAGAGAAGCTGTCGTTGGAGCACTTAAGCTGCAGAGGAAGAGGAGGGAAGAAGTAAAATGAGAACTGAAGGTGGAGAAAAGCAAACAAGTCCTGCAGTGCCCGTGACTCTGTGACACTGGTGGGAGTCCCCTGCCCCATCTAGCCCACTCATCCCCACCTGGTGCTGGAACTGATCATGGAGATCTCGTTTCTGTTCCTGGGCCCGGATCATATCCATGACCTTCCGGTTTTCAGGGAGGCAGGTGGGGCAGTCCGCATCACTTTCCGAGTAACTCTCAAAGCAGTGTTGGTGGAAGGAATGACCACATAGGAAGTGGACTGAGGGCAACTCCAAGGCACTGTTACAGATGCTGCACTTGGTCTTCTGGAAAATCTTCGGACTACGGGCAAAAAAGGCCAGAAATGGGAGGCAAAAAGTGAGGGCAAGGCCAACAGCCAAGTGGAGAAAGAAGGCAGCAGGAGTGGATGGGGAGAGGTCTCTGTTAAGGCCCCACAGGTCCTGCTTTGCTCTTCTTATCACCTAAGAGAGTCAAATGAGGACAACAGCTCTAGACCTAATGAATCTCAGCATGTTCCCAGCAAGTCCAACTGACCGAGGAGGATAATTCTTCTCTTTCAATTTTCACAACTGCCACTAAATTCTGTCAGGTCTGTACTCAGATGTGACCCTTTCAGTGAGGCCTTTCCTGGCCACCTTATCTAAACTTGTTAACACACTCCTTCCCCCAATCCCCTTCCTCAATTCATTTTCCTCTCAGAATTTACCGTTATCTAGCACACTATAAAAGTTTTCCTATTTAACATGTTTATTGTTTGTCTCTCCTTCTATAACACAGGCTCCATGAAGGCAGTCTGTAATGTTTGGAACAGTGCTTGGGACATAATAGGGGCTCAGTAAATATTTGTGGAATGAAGACATTCTTGTTCTCTAGAAAATATTTCACAATATTCAGGGCAGATAAGACTTAAGAAGTCAGGCACAGTGATACATGCCTATAGTCCCAGCTACTTGGGAGGTTGAGGTGGGAGGATCGCTTGAGTCCAGAAGTTCAAGGCTACAGTGAGTTATGATTGAGCCACTGCACTCCAGCCTGGGTGACAGAGCAAGACCCTGCCTTTAAAAATAAAAAGACTTAAGAGTCAGGATTAATGTCTACTGTAAATAATTCTAATTTGTCCACTTTCTGCATTTTCTAAAGCCAAGTTTTTACTTGAGAATGGCTTCCAACCACAACATAGATATGCTTAGATAAGGTAACACAGTCATATGAAGAAAGAATAGTAACTGCTCCAAGATAATAGC